ACGGGGCAGCGCTCCCTCTGTTTTTAAAGGCACTCTATGAATTGATTTATTGTCAAAGAAAATAACAAAGCGAGTAGGGAAATTGTTAAGGAAGCTTTCCAGTGAAACATTTCCTTCATATTCCCTTTTGATATGTTTACCTTGTTTTATAGGTTTACTTTTGTTAAGCTAGTTAAAGATTCATTGTATTAAGATCCCCTTTAATATGGATAATCCCAAACTGACCTGGAATCCTTGTCAGGTTTTTTTTCTATTAAAAATATTTATATTTCTAAAGCTGAGGTATTTTAAGGTGCAGTATCCTGTTTCAAAAGAGATAGCTGTTTTGCCAAATGTAGAAGTTGTTCTAAAATATGTTATTAGGATGTGTTGTTTACATTATGCTCTAATACTATTAAATCTCTTAAAAAATATTGCAACTTCTAAAGATACATTATCCTTTTTCCTAGATCTCCGAACAAATTACTGAATAGTTGCTATAAAATGAAAGGCCTCCTGAAACATAAAGATCATCTTAGATAGATAGAAAAGATTTATTAATTGAGAAAATACAGGTGATTTTTATGTGTTCTTCATATTTGAACAGAAATCTTTCTCCTTCTTGGATGAAAAAAATCGCGTTTAAAAAGTGAAGCATATAAAAATGAAATTACATGTTTTTCCCCTTCTGTATAATTTTAATTTTCTTTGAAACCTAAGTTCAGCCTCATCAAAAAGGGATAGTGCATCTTTTAAAATACATTTTATCTAGGGAGAAACTTGCAAATGAGACGACTTTTGTACAATGTCACTTCAAAGACGTATTCACAAAGGACAAAAGATATTTTTATAATGTCATTCAGGTGAGAAACCCCAATACATTAGTGAACTTTAATTTCAGAATCTTTCAAATTTGGATAAAATTAAAATAGAGAACTACCTGGAACCAGTGAAAAGGAAAACTGGGTTTAAACAACCACATTTCTAATTGATAATTGTCTCTTACATTTTAAATCTACTGTATTTATTATAATTTACACCCTTAGAGGTGATCTCTTGTTTTGTGTTGTAAATATATTCTGTTTGTATGTTCCCTTTTTTTGCCTTCTGATATAAGTCTCTTCCTTTCTCAAATAAAGGTTTTTTTTAAAAGATCCCCTTTCAGATATCTGACTTTGTGTAAAGTTGATAACTTAGTTGTGCTTTTGCTTTGTATAACCAAATATGTTCGCTACACATTGTTGAAACAATTCAAGCTTTCAGGAGCAAGGTTTTTATTACATGATTCTTACAATGATTACACAAAGTCTTTTTTTGGTCTCTTGTTTTATCCTACATCAGCCATTATAAGTTTTAGTGAATGTGGAAACAGTATTGATGCATGCTCATTTTCCCATCATGGCATCTGTCTTGAACATGTGATCATATATTGTACCGTATAGGAAAGGTAAAGGTGAATCCCAGTTTCCTGGCTCCTAATTACCCAAAATTCAAATGAACTGAAATAATTTCCATGACATTTCTAAAATCTGCCTAGAACCCAGAAGGTGTTGATCTGAAACTGAGCTTATACTGACCTCTTCGATATTCCTCGAGACCTTTGCAAAACTAGAGTCCACCTGTGAACATGCTGGGGAGGAGGGAATCCACAAACTTTGCAGACTTTAAAGCGGTTGTGTAAGACAGTGACGTCCTACTTTAGAAACACCTAAGCACTTCCTTGAAGATGTTAAACGGTTTACTCGTTTGTGACATTTCCTGAACTTTGCTTCAGCTCTACAAGGAGAAACAGTTTGTACTGCAAACCTATCTCTGCTGCTAAAGTACATGAATTATTACTACCAAAAGAGTTCAGATAATTGTGGCATTCTAGGTCTTCTAACTGTTCATTTAAATTGCAAAAGCTCTTACCAGCTTCGATTTTGGTATAATTTTAACTAAAATAAAATGCTTTCAGCAACATAAGTATGTAAGAATAAATATTTCCATAAATCAAATCTAATTATTTTCAGTGATACAACAGCAAAGTTTCATCAGTCATACACAAAAAAAATAGTAGATAAAGAGTCAAGTTTTACGTTAGGAAACTTAACTAGCATTAACAGTATAACATTATACTGCTTGCCCTGTTGATTATTCTGTATTTAGAATTTTGTGCCTATAAGTAAATCATGCTTTCAACAGGGATTTTATTGAGATGCCTGTTGTTTAAATACTCATGTTGGAATTAGAAGAGCAGTCATAAATGTTTTCAGTTTACAACATTCCTGTTTTGGAGGCTACACCTCAATTTTTTTTCCTACATTATTTGTTTACCATGCATCAAAGCACCCAAAATGAAGAAAACAGTCGTAATTTAATACAATTCACAAGCCTTATCTTTTCCAGGAATGCTGTGCATCTCTTTTTTCTTTGGAACAATAGATGCTTATTCTGTCCCCTTGTCCAAAAAATAAAGCCAGTATAGCTGCCAATTTATAAGTTACTACTACTTAATGAGGGAAAATGCTTCATAATATTTATATACTCAAGACAGACACACATTACTGGAATGTAGCTACTGTAACATTAGCCTTTTTTTCATCTCCTGACATTAACAAAATAGGATTAAAAGCAAAGCAGGAGCACTCCAGACACTATCACCTCTCATCCTTTCTATTCAGCAATTCATTCGTGCACTATCGTCATTCCATCTTCATTATCATCAGGATCACTAAGACTTACTCCATGTTACTTAAGCCAACTATACCCTGTTTTTATCTTCACTGGCATTCTGAGGTAAAAATCTATAAACATTAGTCCCAAGCACCAATCTAAAAATGTTTACTTATTTCTCCCCCGTACGAACACTTCACAATTTGCAGCCAAAATTAGCTAAGCCAAGTTAATTTCCTTATTGTATTCTGTCCCACTAGCAGCATGTCCTACTTATCCACTTAAGAGATGTTTGTTTGCTTTTCATTTATTTGTTTAGTTTCTGATTTCCTTATGCAGTTCCCATCATCTGGGTGGTAGCGGGGCTTCTGTACTTCGTTTCTCAGTGGTGGAATATAGCTTAGAAGATCATATGCTGAATTGCTGTTCAGGCAAACAGAAGAGGAGCATCCTGCATAAAATTATCTTCTCTATTGCTCTAAAGCAACAATCCCAGTGATTTTTGTGGAATTTTACCACTCTATTTGGTAGACACTGTGCTTTGCATTTGGTAGATATTGTGCTTTGCATTTGGTTTTTTCTCTTTTAACTCAGCCTAATTTGGAATTGGATTTAAAGGCAAAAAATACAATTAGCTCAAACTGCATAGCCAGCAGAAAGGCTGGGTTTCTCGGCCATGCTCGCGCAGTCACATACACAAACAGAGCTGGGAAGGGGCATCCTTCGGGCATGTCCTGTTTTCTGGTCCTCATTGCTGAGCTCGTGTCACACTCCTGCTTATTTTGATTCTGGCCCCATAACTCATCTAGCCCGTACAGGATAACTTCCCCGGCTGCCTGTGGGCATGCACAGCTATTGGAGACCCCCAAGGGTTGCTAGAGCAGCAGCTGAGATTTAAAAGGGTACTAGCTTAGTAGCGAAGTCATTCCGCAATGTCTAATTCTCTGTGACGACTACATGGGGGCCTTAGTCACTAGAGTTGTTTTGACAGACCAGATACTTACTTGTAAGGGATTCAATGCCTTAATTAGCTGATTAAATGAGAGGTTTTGAATCTGGCTGTGGAGCCTTTGTGGCATTTGTTTTACTTCACTTTCCATAGTTGCCTTGAAGTCACTGTGTTGACTCTAACAGTACATAACCCTGAAATACGAGGGAGGTTGGCTGGAGGATGTGCTGTTAAAAGTACCCCTCTGCACACTTGGTCCTTCCAAGGTGGTAGCACATTACAACATTTCTGGCCTTGAGAAGTGCTGTGAAGGGCAGGAGAAACGGAAATGTAAGTTTGGAACAGTGTCAGACTTCCAAATAAACTTTCCACCTCCTCTCCCTCTCTCCCTAAATGAGGTTGTAAGCACATTCTTATATCTACTAGCTCCACTCACCTTTTTTTTTTTTTTTGTAGGCTACCTCAGTTGTCTCCTTTAACTCCTTCAGCCAGTAAGAGACTCACTAACCTTGTACTGTTCTGCCCTTCCTCAAGTCTGTGAGTGCACAGTCCCAGTACAACCCCTACATAACACAAGCTGGCACTATGATTTCTGGGATCAAACTTGAGCCATAGACTGTCTGGATGGAGCAAGGGGGCGGAGGGCTGTGTAGCTGGATCTGTTTTGTGAAAATTTTTCATTCATCTCCGTGAGGGGAAGCCCCATCTACATATTTAGCCAGCTTTCTGTCATCTTTACTCCTAAGGTCCCGTGTTGAGTTTTTAACTGTGGTCTTTAAAAATGTTGTTCTTTATCAAATGCTACAGGAAGAATGAGATTTTTTTTAATGCCAATTCTACACGAAACTGCATAACAGAATTTTCAGAAGTAATTTTCCTTTCCCAGTTGGATTTGAAAACGATCCATTTTTTCAGAAAGTATCAAATCTACTTTCTTAATGAATGCCAAGGAGATTGTTATTTTTGTTTGTCTTTCCTGTTGTAAACCTTCAGTTACAGAAGGCAATAAGACTTATTTTATCACAAAATTAAATCAAGACCTGAGTTGTCTGACCAACCATATGGCGTTACAACATAACAAAATTATTTCATTTCACTGATACCTGCACAGAATAATGTTGATAGTGCTTTTATTTTTTGATCCAAAATTTTTTGCGCTTCTTTTCCTCCTTCAGATACTTAACGATATAGCACCTCGTACTTCTGTTACTGCTCCCTTTTGTTAGAGAAAGCAGCATGTAAGGAAACCACTGGGGCAACACTAGGCAAAATTACTTAATCAGGGGTACCTAACTAGCATGAATCGAAAGTCTGTA